TCCATAATATTTAATTTAGTACTTTTTTTCACATATCTTTCATCTTTTTTTTAATTTTTACATGCACCCCTTACCTTTCTTTCACTACACCTATTTTGGTAGCATGTGAAAACTAAAAGAGAAAAAAAAAGTATGTGAAAAAGGATACTTACCAGAGTCAAATCCTCCACCGGCAAAGAGCCTTTCTTATGCTAGTTATTAATAAATAATAATAATAAATAAAAAAAATAAGGTATTACAGGATACATGACAAAAAAGATGAAAAAAATAAGACAAAAATATTTTTTTTTACTTAATAAATTATGGGAGAATATATTTTGTCTAAAGGATAAAACACTCATTATCTTCATTGTTGTACCAGTATAATCTTACTCGATCCTCACCACTGTTGTCCAGCATTATCATTGTTGTCACTGAACATGGCCACTGCAATCCACAACCACGACCTTGTCTCCTTTTATCATTATTATTGTTGTCGTTGTTTCCATCATCATCATTATTATTGTTATGATGATAATTATTACAACCATATTTTCAGTAAAATAACAACAATAGTACTAAAATAATAATAATAGTAATTTATTATGATAATTAATATTAAAATAATATTATAATAAATTTTTAACATTATTTTATTTATATTCATCAAACATTTTATAGAATAAAAAGTTGTCTAATAATTTAAACAATTGTCATGCGCGTTGTTCTCTTTATTATGTACAATAGTGTGTAACAAGCATATCCTTAGAAATCTAAATTTGTTGTGTTGAAAAAAATCCTTAAGACAAGAGTCTCATGAAAAAAAAATGTGGTTAGAAGTATCGATCCTTAACAGTAATCCACCCTTACCTGACATTTAATTGGTTAATTTATAAACTCTGGTTAACTATATTTCTTAATCGCTATCTATCTTTGAGTTATGTTGATGGGCCATAACCGTTGAGGATCGCATGCCAAAAACCATGCCGTGATGAAAACAATCTCATTACCATAAATAACATGTATTACAACATCTTTAACAACATTAGAAAAATATTAAATGAATAAATATTACTAATATATTTTTATAATATTTTATTAAATATAAATAATTTTTAATAATATTTTTGCATATTAATTACAATATTTTAAAAATGTTACAAAAGTGATATTTTGTAACATTTTAATAATGTTACTAAATTTGTATAAATTTTATAAAATGATAATTTTAATATAGATTAGTACCACTTATATTTTATCATTTTTCTACATGTTCTTTAAGGTTGAAGACATCTTAAGAAATCATTAGATTATATATCAAAGATTATTTATTTTAAGTTTTACTCTATCGTTATATATATTTTTTATGTGCCATTTATTTTCTTGATGTAAAACTTTAATTTTAAAAAATAATTAAAGATTGGAGAAATATACCTCTTATATATCATTATTTTACTTGATGTGTGACTTAATTTCAAAAATAATTATAAAAAATAATATTTCAATAAGCATGTTAATTTATCTATAATAACATTTTATAAAAGAAAATGTTACAATAATCTATTAAGTTAATTTATAATAACTTTTTAATCGGTGTAAATAGATGAATGTTGTTAAAAAGAATTCGTTAAATGTAGTATATGATTCATGGTTTCAAATATTACCCCTTGTAGCATTTGATTTGGAAGCCAAATTAAACCATGAAAACTAGATCCAACAACAAAGTCTTTATGCGGTCCATGCGAACAGATTTAGATATTCAGCATAACAAGTTTCCTCTGATTGTGTGACAGTTTTATGTATCGGGTCAAGACCAATCTCTACTATAAACTATTTAAACTATATCATTGAATTAATTAAATCATAGAATTAAACGCAAGACTCTTGTGTAAATCTCTTGAGATTGACGTAGGATTTTCCAAATAAATTGTCTTAATCAAATAATTAACTTAAAAACCGAAGAGAAATTTTAATTGGAGACAATATATAGTTTATGTGAGGATCAAATCTCCATTTTTCACAAATTAAACAAATATAGTTCTCGTAAACCCACTTAAAAGCATACATTGTGTGAAAGTATTTTATTTTCAAACTAATGATTAGTTTTTTAGGGATGATGTAGGTCTGTTTGTTTGATTTTTTTTTCTAAAGACGTTTTTTTTTTTAATAAAATACGCACTTCTTTATTTTTGGACAAGTTTATTTTCATAAAATAAATAATTTTCTGTTTTTTTTTTTAAAAAGAAAACTCCAATCTACTTCTTAAAAAAGATTTTTAAAACACTTAATTATATAAGCACTTATTTTTAAGTTTAAACAAATATGTTCATAGACTCTATGATCCTCATCAAGTTTCAATCTCCATTTTCACAAATTAAACAAATTTAAGATCTTGTCAACCCACTTAAAAACATATAATTGTTGAAACATATATTTGATTTTGGACGTTATATTTAAATAAAAGCTCAATTTCTAAAAATATGTTAAGGTCAATTTTAGAAACATATTCTAAAAGAATCTCTTTAGAAGATAATTCTAACATAGTAAATAGATTTGTCTAGAAAATATAAATAAATTTTGATTTTTTAAGCATATTCTAAAAAATTATTAAATTAAAATTGTGTCAATAATCCAAATCAATGATATAAGAAGAGTCACTAATATAAATAGAGGTAAAAATTTAGAATTTGTATAAGTGATCAATTATTTATATATATTGATCTTCAATTACTTATGTCAGAAAAAATAATACCACATAACCTCGGGTACTCAAAATAATATACTCTAATTATTCCACGCATTATATAATTAGTATGATAAAAAAAAAATTCCTCTTCTACAAGTGAGATTAGAAATTTTTTAAATTAATTCAAACTGAGATATTTTTGGATTTTCAATATAATTAGCTGGGTAGGAAATTAAATACGGCACAACTAATAGTCAAAGCTCTAAATATCGAAGATAATTATTAAAAATATGACGAAATACATATTGCGATCTTGAAGTTCAATTAAAGTATGCATCAACATAGGATATAGAGTCTATATAAGATTTTTATTTTAATGTTCAACATTTAGAGATATAAATACATATTGCAAACTTGAAGTTTTGAAACATGCATCAACCAAAAGGATAGAGTCTATATCTTAAAAGAATTTTTATTTTAACATTCAACATCTAGAGGTAGGTAGCTACGTTGTTCTCAATTTCTTCTTTGGCCGGTTCATCAAATGGTTCCTCCCCAACATATAAATCTAGAATTGACTTACACAGGAGTTTGCTATGGATGCTTCCCACTTCTTGTCCATTAACTATACAAAAAAATAAGATAAATTGCATAAATTTTATGAAGCCAGTTTGAACTACGGTTTAACGTATATATAAAGGAACACCCATTAAATTAGACTCAGTTCTAAATGAAGAAAGTAGAGAGAAAAAACATATTCATGAATTCTCAACTAAATCTTTTAAATTATTATTAAGACCTGATTTTTTCTTATACAATACATAATTGAGGTGGGAGAGTTATTTTGAATTGTATTATAATTATGAAACTTGAGATCAAAATGCATACATGCAGAAAGATGACTTACTCAATGTGCGAAGAAATTGACCCTTCTCTCTTAAGAGATGAATTACAGATCCTTTAGGTATTTTGTATTCATCTTTAAATTGTGAAGTGAACCTGCATAACATCACATTAGTGAAGTAAAATTATAATATGCAATAATTCTTACCCACTTGAATAAAAAAAGTTACATCTCATGAACAGTTACTTAGAACAAATTTTTTTTCTCAAATTACCAAAACTAATATATCAGCCACTATTATAAAATACTTTTTTTTATGGTGTATTTGGATGATAGATTTTATAAATTCAAGGAACTTAAAATTCTTGATATTTGAATTATTTTAATTTTAATTTTTATTATTCTAAAAATATTTTGTTTAGATAAGTTAATTTCAAATTTTTTTAAATTTTAAATTTTTACTTTCTATGATAAAATTGATTTTAAAAATATATTCATATGTTAATATTTTAAATTAAATTTTATAAAATAAATATTAACCAATTTTAAAATATTTAATAATTTTAAAAAATTAATATTAGATAATATTTAATAATTTTAAAAATATTTTTAAATATTCAATAATTAAAAAAATGAAAAGATAAGTTAAAATATATAAGTAAAATAAGAAAAATAAATTAAAATTTTATTATTTTAAGAAATTTTTACAAATGCTTGAATTTTAAATTCTTTATAAATTTTTTATTTAAATAAAGTATTTTAGCTCAAAAAATTTAAATTTTTTTAAATAAATAAATTATTCTATTTAAGTTGCCTAGTATTTAGTTTGATAGAAATAGAGGAGGGGATGGAAGACCAAAATTTATCTCCATTCCTTCCTCTCTCTATATATACCAACTGCGTCTGTTATCTCCATTAAAAAAATTTTCTTCCTTTAAAATTAGTGGTGCATTAGAGTTAAAGAAGAAAAAAGCTTCAAATAATATCCACCAAAAGTCAATTTTCACAATGCTAAAAATACAACTAAAAAGTTCTGAATCGTTACATTGAAATGCACATAAATACTTATTAGTTGGCAAACGTATTTGTGTGTGTGAAAGTAAGGATTCATTCACAAATATGAAATTTCCCCCACAAGAAAATATGATAATGCAATAACTAAGTCTCAGCGTAAGAAAATGATATTGCAAGTTGATGGAAGTATTCACCTTTGAAGCAATTCTTTATAGTCCGATCCCCCAAACTTGTACAGTCTGCTTCCCACAGACTCTTTGAATACACCGCGCAAGAAACCAATGCTCAATTCGTTGTGGGCAATTTGAAGTCTAACTGCCATGAATATGTCACTTTCCATAAGATCATCAGTAAACTCCTTCTTGCCCTGTAATTTAGAAGCAGAAAACTTCCTATATTTCTCAGAAAGATATTCCTTTATGTCCAAATCAGCAGCATAAACACCTGTCCAAATGACACAAATTAAAATTTCTAAATACCATAAACTTTTGATTGTTAGTTTCTCCCCTAATCACTATCACTATTTGTTGTATATTTCAAACTAATAATGAATTACATAAAAATTAAGTTACAATAAAATCAAACAGATACTTATACTTCATCTAATAAAAGAAATCAATCTACACATTTTTTATGCAAGTTATCTCCGGTAAGTAAAATCAAAGTAAAAGCAATTCTAAGAAGAACAAAAGAAAAAGGTGATAGAGACATTAGATCTGAAAGTACAAGTTAAATTGAAAAAAATCTTTATTTTATTTTTTTCATACCAAAAGCATAGACATCAAAGCTTATGAATGGTATAAGGCTTTTTTTACGCAAACCAACTCCACAGAGTTTGAGAGAAGGGCCTAGAGCAGAAGGGAAGGGCACTCCAGTTCGTCTCTCATACACGTAAACACCATTGTCCTCCAAACTGAGACGCATCGATGATGAGTGAGAAGAGATGACGGAACTCATAATGAGAGATTTCAGTTTGAAATTCCTATTCAATTAGAAGAGATAGTGAAGAAAATGTTAAGGCACTGCAAATTTAAGCGAAGGAAATCCCTCGGTCGGTGGGGATAGCTGTAAGTATTAACCAAATGCATTCACATTTAACGTATTGTTCGGATATGATGATGTTGGGAAGCGAGAAATGTGTCAGAATAAAGTGCCAAAGTGAATGAAATTTTTGGTTGTTTGTGAAACAAGAAAAATAAATGAAGAAATAAAAGTTTGGTGGACCCACATCACAAAATAACTTTTTCAAATTTGAAATAAAAAAGAGAAGAAAAAATACGGTGAACCCATTAAACAATTAAATGACATATTTACTTTTTCTTTTATTATATAAATATATTGATAAGGATAATAACATATTTTTACTTTCTTTTTCTTATATATATATATATATTTTTTATTTTTTTAATTCAAACACTTTAAAATTTTATTACTTTTTATTAATTTTCTTTTAATTATTTTTTATTCTACTTCTTTATTTTTAGAATTTTGAAATTTCAAACAAATTATAAAAGATTAGAAACAAAGCAAGTGTATATAACTATTGATAAATTATTGTTAATTATGCAAGTTATTCTCGACTTATTTATATAACTGAATATAAAAAGCTATAGTCGTGTTGAAAAGAATTTTTGAAGAGATTAGTTCATCTTACATAATATTTAATTAGTTAATTTATAAAATTCAGCTAGCTATATATTTTAATAAATATAAATAAATAAATGATTCTAAAAATGTTAAATGTACGGGTGGAAAGTAATACACTAGATAAGTTATTGTTAATTGTGACAATTCTTCTTTTCTTATTTATTATTTAACTTGACATCAAAGGACCACTAAACATAATGCATCTAATCATAACTATTTAAATGTGTTTAATTTGTTAAAAAACATGGTATTAGAGGGACAATTTTTTTATTTATTTATAAAAACGTAGTGGAATACGGCAAAAAAAAAAATGAAAAAGACAAGATAAAAATCCTATTTTTTTTATTTAATTATTATCAAAAAAATTGTTGACACATCTTAGAATAATATAATATTTGTTATTAAAAATTATTTTTATATATTGATACAATGTATATTAGTATATTATTAAGAAGTGTATGTATAGATTATAATGATATATAATATATGTTGTTCAATCTCATCCAAAATCAACATTAAAATTGTGTGTAATTATATATCCAATAGATTTATACTTACATATATTATATTTATAGTGACATTTTTTTATGTTATTAAATGAAGCATTTCTTGTAATGAATAAATCATAGGAGAATATTTCTAAAATATAAAAAACACTCATTATCATCATTGTTGTACCAACCTTGCTCGACCTGACCCTCTCCATCATTACCCAACACTACCTTGTCTCCTTTCATCATTGTTGTTATTATTGTTACCATCACTATTACCACTTTTGTTGTCATCATGATAATTCTCATCACCATATTTCCATTAAAATAATAAATATAATAATTTATGATAATTAATATTAAAATAATATTGTAATAAATTTGACATTAATTATTTTATTTGTGTTGTTCATTGTTCATCAAACATTGTATTAAACAAAAAATTGTCAAATAACTTAAACATTTATCACATATTGTTCTCTTTATCATATACCTTATTAGTGTGTACAAGACACATTCTTAGTGATCTAAATTTTTTGTGCCGAAAAGAATCCTTAAGACAAGAGCCTTGTGAAAAAAAAAACGTGATTAAGAAAAAAGATTTCACTAAAAATTCAGACAGACAACAAGTATTAGTCATGAAAAAAGTCAATAAATATTTTGTACTAATAATATAATTATAAAAAAAATTTTAAATATTATCTATCCTTACATGAAATTCAATTAGTTAACTTATAATAAAATTCATATATAATAAAATATGGTATTGTGGTTTTTTTTTTATTGATTGATAATCAAAGCATGCAGCAATACATTAATTTATATAAAGAAAAAGATAACTATTTAAGATAACAAACTTATCTAAACATATCTAAAATAAGAAAAAGATAACTATCTAAGATAACAAACTTATCCAAAGTTATTATGCAATATGTTGCAACTACTATCTATTATTTCTTATCTCTAATATTCCCTCTCAAGTTGGAGTGTGGGGATTATGAGCACCCAACTTGACTGTTAGCTCTCTAAACATCTTCGCACCCAAAGCTTTTGTGAAGATGTTGACTTGTTTCTTTGTTGGAATATACATGGTGAACATTGTACCCTATTGTAAGTGAGTGCGAATGAAGTGACAATCCACTTCTATATGCTTTGTTCTTTCATGATAAATTGGGTTAGCTGCAAGATGAATTACTACTTGGTTATCACAATAAAGTATAGTGGGAAATCTGCACTCAACTTGTAAATTATTTAGCAGACTTCTTAACCAAAGTACCTCACTAATAGCTTGTCCCATTGCTCTATATTCAACTTCACTTGAAGACTTGAACACAATTGTTTTCTTTTTGATCTTCCAAGAGATAGGTGTCGATCCAAGCTTCATCAAATAACCAAATGTAGACCACTGAGTAACTGGACATGATGCCTAGTCTAAATCACAAAATGCCATCAATGTAAGATCATTTTCTTCGAGTAAAATAATGCCTTTCCCTGGTGAGGATTTGAGGTATTGTGGCACTCTCATGGTTGCATCCCAATGGCCTTGTTGTGGAGTGTGATTAAATTGGCTCAAGATATGTACAAAATATGTGATCTCTGGATAGGTCATAGTGAGATATATAAGTCATCCAATGAGACAACAATATTATGGGGCATTTGGATAAGATGGACCAGGACCAGGAGCAAGTTTATGATTTTGTTCCATTGGGAATGAAGTTGTTTTGTAGTTAAGAATTTTGCACTATTTTATTATGTCTAAGGTGTGTTTTATTTGACACATAAATAATCCAAAAACTCCTCGAGTATGCTCTAGTCCAAGAAAGTATTTCAAATTCCCAAGGTCCTTTATGTGGAATTGTTGGCACAAATATCCTTGAACATACACCAATATAGCTAGGGAAGTGTTCCCATTTGAAAAGGTGAAAAGGCTATGGTCTGTTAGAGACTCTTTAAACCCATATTCTAAAAGAGATTGAGATAATTTAGTATACCAATTGTGAGAGGCTTACTTTAACCCATATAGGGATTTCCTTAACTTATAAACCATGCCTTCTCTAGGCACTTGGTAGTCCTTTGATGTCTGCATATAAACTTCTTCTTCTAAATCTCCATGTTAAAAGACATTTCTTACATCCATTTGATGGAGTTCCCAATCTTTTACTACTGCAATTGAGAATAGGCATCTTACGGTGGTCATTTTTGCCACCAAAGCAAAGGTCTCATTAAAATCCTCTCCTTCTACCTGTGTGTAACCCTTTGCCACTAAATGAGCTTTGTATTTCTCAACTTCTCCAGATGCCTTATATTTGATCTTGTAGACCCACTTACAACCCGCAATCTTTTTATCTTTGGGCGAAAATGCTAAGTCCCAAGTCCCATTATCTTCCAATGCTTTGAGTTATAATGCCATGGCATCCTTTCATTCTTCACGTTGCATGGCTTGTTGATATGTATAAGGTTCTTCATGGATAGTAATGGCTACAAGATAGGCTTGGTGTTTTCTTGAGAAAAAATCATAATTGATGTAGCCAATGATAGGGTAGACCTTACCTAAAGATTCTGAGTGACTTGAGCTCATGTTGATAAGGTTTTCGCTTGTTGCATGGAAGTAGAAATCACTAAGGTAATGTGGTGGTTGTCAAATTTGAGGTGAAAGTTTTGTGACTTGGACCTCCTTATGCGTTTCCCTCTCATTGTGAGATTTTAACTCCACATTGTCCACTTCCTTGTTTTCTACGACTTGTGTTTCTTCTCTACCCTCAGTTATTGATTTAGTTGAATAAATTTCCTCCCTTTGAGGTTTAGAATTATCATGAAATGTGCTTGTGGATAGGAGCAAAATTATCTTTTCTTGACCCTTAATGTAAGGTAACATGTGTTCATAGAATATCACATCCCTCAAGACATAAAATTCATGGGTCTTTAGGTTATGCACTTTCCATCCCTTTTGGCCTTGTGGGTACTCAATGAATATGCATATGTCAACCCTTGAGTCAAACTTGTCCCTATGCTTGGAGTTAGATCCCACATAACATAGGCAACCTATGACCTTTAAATGGTTATAGGTCGGTGGCTTGCCAAAAATCATTTAATATGGAGTGATGCCTTGTTTTGTTGCTGTTGGAGTTCTATTAATGATATGAGTGGTGACTAGAACACATTCTCCTCCCCAAAACTATAGGGGAAGATTGCTTTGAAATTTCAACGCTCTAGCAACATTCAAGATGTGTTTGTGCTAGTGTTCCACATATCCATTATGTTGAGGTGTAGCCCCACATGATAACTCATGAAGTATCCCATTTTCTCGTATAAATTTTTGCAGAGATGAATTGGTAAACTCGATCCTGTTGTCACTCCTTATTCTCTTGATACACGTTTTAAATTGCGTTTTCACCATGTTTTAAAAATCCATTAGGATTCTAGTGATTTCGTCCTTTTGCTTGATTAGATAGACCTAGGTGTTGCAAGTATAATCATCAACAATTGCGAGAAAATAATGATACCCATTATCTGTGGCAATGTGGTATTTCCCCATAAATCACAATGTATCAAATCAAAAGGTTTCTTTGCTTTATTACTGCTTTGAGGAAAATGAAGTCTACATTGTTTTGCTCTGTGACATATATCACAACCATAAACTTTATTCAAACTAAAACTACATTTAAATTTTGTGAAAGGTGTTGGAGAGCCTGAGTAGAAGGATGTCCCATTCTTGAGGTCCAAAGAATGGTGGTGTCTTCGTGAGTAGTTGCATACGAAACTCCTAACAAAGTGGCTTTAAACACATAAACCCCATCAAGCATGCTACCCAAGCCACTCGCTTGGTCATATATCACACAACAATTAGATTGATAAGTTGTTAAGTCTCAATTTTACTTCTTTTTGGACAATACTTAATGAACAATTCCACTCATTCTTTGAACCATTGCAATATAATTGTTCTCTTTTTGGTTCATTTT